TAAATCCCATAGAATCTGTGGGGGCTTTATCAAGAGGAAGATAAATAGACACCAGACCCAACAATGCAAATGAGCTGAAGGCCGCTATCAAAACAACCTGGGCTTCCATAACACCTCAGTAGTGCCACAGGCTGATTGCCTTCATGCCACACTGCATTGATGCAGTAATTATGCAAAAGGAGCGCCAATCAAGTACTAAGTGCATATTATACTGTACACGGACATACTTTTTAGTAAGACAACATTTCTGCATTAAAGATCCTATTTTTTAATGGTCTTATGTAATATTCTAATTTTCTGAGATACTGAATTTTCAGTTTTTACTAGCTGTTAGCCATAATCACCAAAATTAAAATAACGACATGCTTGAAATATATCACTCCGTGTGTAATGAATCTATATAATATATGAGTTTCACTTTTTGAATTGCATTACTGAAGTAAATTATCTTTTTGCTTTTATTCTAATTTATTGAGACTTGTATGTCAGTCCAAATCTGTTTGATTTTGGGGTACTCCCACCAAATATGTAAGAGGGTACCAGTATTTTGGCATCCTCAAAAACTTTTATTGGAAATTGTAGAGTTAATTTTGGCTAAACGTTGGGGAGTCATATACCATCATAATAATTTGTAGTTGGATTAAATCGCATTAGTATTGATTGGACAATGGACTCTGGTGTGCCAGATTTGGTACCGTTCTTTTTCTTCAATAGATTCTCTGAGATCAGTTTCCCATTTAGTCATATATGATGGGAGAGGAGCCCAGTGTTTAAGGAGAGATGCATAAATTATTGAGATAAGTCCTTTTGCTGTAAGGTCATGTTTACACAAGTTTTCAAAAGGAGTCAGGGTTCAGAGAGTTGAGGAAGAGATTATTGTTTGGGAAACAACATTTTTAAGTTGAAGATATCTAGATGTTTCTTGATAGGGTAGGTTTTGCAATAGTTTAATAGAGGAGAGACTTAAAACACTGGTGGCAAATATCAGATCATATATTCTGTACATATTATGGGAAATCCACCATCTAAATTTAGAAGGATCAAGGGATCACGGGGGAAACATTGGGTTTCATGTGATTGGAAGTAAGAGAGTATTGGACACAGGGGCGGACTGACCATTTGGAAACTCGGGCGCTGCCCGAGGGCCCGGGGTCAGTAGAGGGCCCCATGAGATGTCCCTGGTACCTTTTTCATAGGCTTTTTTGAGTTTGGGCAAGGACACAGGGGCACCATGATCCTCTATTGCCCGGGGGCCCCATGAGTTGTCAGTCTGCCCCTGATTGGACAGTTCCAAATTCCAAACCTACAGGAAGCTGAGTTACAATCTGACATATATCCTACTCTATATAAGTCTCAGTATAAAAAGCTGGGAAATACTGTAACTTTCCATATCACCTCATAGCAATCAATCATATTCAATCCTGCAATGGAAAAAAAATTGGATAGTTCGTTAGTGAGATTTCCCTCACTTTTTGTCCTAGGAACAACATTTTCCCAGACAGGAAAGATCTGAAACATGGAAACACACACCAATAAAATGCTAACAGAGTTTCAAGCATACCCCTACTTAATGAAAAAAAAATACTTCTATCTGTTCTACCGATAGAGAGATTTCCCCTCACTTTCTGTCCTGGGGACACACTTTCCACCAGGCACTAAGGGAAGGAATACCGCCAGTGGTGCTTCCAACACCAGTATAACCTGATAGTCCTTATCATTCCTAACTTTATCCAAAAACACATTTTGGCTATAGATACTTTCAACCATGTAAGAAATTGATATAAAGAGTGTATATATATATATATATATATATATATATATATATATATATATGGTATGTACAGAAATGCTACTGAAATGAATAATGGAGCTGTGTTAGTTTCCCATTTTAGACACAAGCAGAACTTTGAGTTATTTAATACCAGAAGCCTTTACCTAAACTAATTTTGGCCAGTTATCCTTTACACCCTGTGTGTTTTTTTAAATTACAAATTGCTAGAGTTAATATTATTGCCCATTTTGGTAAAAGCAATAGACTTTGGCTATGTACTTGCTCTGATTTGATTTGACTCTTTCCATCTGCCAATTCCACTCACTGTCAACCAGCTGTTAACAGAGAGATCGGCTCTGCGGAATACAGTTTGAAATATCACTCTGGAACAGGTTAGAATATTAGGATGGGACAGGGAATTTCCAGGTGATATATGGAGAAACAATAAATGTCATGACAATCCCCAGTGACAGTTTACAGTAATGAGGTACTTGAAGGAATCTCAGTTTTAGCACTGCTACATCACAAGCTTTGGATTTACAGCTACACACAAGAAACACATTACCAGCTGGCTTTAAAATATGTTAATGAGGTTTGTGCAATGTGTAATGTTTACATCTGTTGCAGTAATACTTCATTGTGTAATAACCAAGTGTGTGTAGCATTTATGCCTGATTACAGCTGCAAACCCGCTTAACAGCATTACATTTGGGGCCGGCTCTTTACTGTAAATCTAATACTGCTAATATACCCTTTTCCAACAAATGAATGACATACCCAGCATGCTTTTTAAACAAGCTTAAAATCCTGTTCAGAGGTTACAATTAATTTATCAGAATACAAATATGTAACCTTCCATTGCTGGTTGGATCTTCAATATGCAGGCTCTGGGGATGTCATCTTTATCCTTGGCATATTACCCAATAAATCACTGACCCCAAACAACTATGTGCATACTATGTATCTGACGTTTGCTTGTTTTTGCTTTGCTTGTTTTTGATCAGAAACTCAGCAAGTATTAAAGAAGAATAAAGATGCCAACATTATTGCCACAATTTTTCCACGATTGTCAAAATGCTTTGCTAAAACAACAAATCGCACAACAGTATGTACAGGTGCCATTCATTTTAATGGCACCTAAAAATGAGGTGCGGCTCTGCCATAATTGTTGCTTGATAAATTGCACTGAAATCCCTGCAAAATGTATCGCAGGAAGAGTATCACCTAAGAGAAGTTCAGGAGCTTCTTTTTCGTGATACACTTCCTGCAATGTGGTTTGCCACGATTGCAGAATGATGTATCGTGCGACAATCACGGCAGAACCACACCATGTTTTTAGGTACCACTGACCACTTGAACTCCAGGACTTTTTGTGGCACTTTTGTTTACATCTAAAAATCAATATTTTTGCTAACAAATTAGTTAGAACCCTCAAACATTAAATATTCTTTAAAGCAGAGGTCCTAGAGAATAAATTGGTGGATTTTGCTAATTTTTTATCTCACATGGTATTTGCGCAGCGTTTTTTTTTTTTTCAAACTCAGTTTTTTGGGGAAAAAAAATACACTTTTTTGAATTTTAACCGCTTCCCCGGCTGCGACAGGGCTGTGCAAAATCACGTATATATGTATATATATATATATATATATATATATACACGTGATTTTGTATTTCCACCCTACCCGCACCACCATTGGCAGCTACAGCTGTCAATCACTGGGTCTCGGCCGGAGATTTCCCGCTGACACCCGGCGATCGCCGAGTATCACTGACTGGGAAGAGGTCTATATGTAAACAACACAGATCTCTCATCTGTCAGCTCCAGCATGCTGCTTTGTATTGCTCTGCATAGCAGAACAATACAAAACAGCATACCTCCCTAGTAAAACACACACAGCACACAGTAAAACACACACAGTTAACCGTTTGATCGCCCCAGATTTTAACTCCTTCCTGCCCAATGTCATTATTACAGTGTCTGTGCTTTTTATTATTAGCACTTATTAGCACTGATCACTGTATTAGTGTCACTTGCGATGTCAATGTCAGTTTCAGCGTCAGACTGCCCGCTGCAGTCCCACAATAAGTCGCTGATTGCCGCCATTGCTAGTATTAAAAACAAAAAAGAATCCCACTATATATACTGCCAATTGTAGACGCTATAACTTTCACATATACCAATTAATTTATATGTGTTGGGATTTTGGGCAAAGACGTGTAGCAGAATACATTTTGGCTTAAATTCATGAAGAAATGTGATTTTTAAAAATTTTTACTGGTTATGTTTTATAGCAAAAAGTAAAAAATATTGTCTTTTTTTGTTTATAGCACAAACAATTAAAAATGCAGAGGTGATCAAATACCACCAAAAGAAAGCTCCATTTGTGGGAAAAAAAGGACATAAATTTCATTTGGGTGCAGCATTGCATGACAGCGCAATTGTCAGTTAAAATAATGCATCGTCGTATCAAAAAAAATTGCCTGGTCTGGAAGGGGGGTAAATCCTCAGGAGGGCAAGTGGTTAATGTAAAAAACACATTACATAACCCAATTTATTTGTAAAATATAGAAGATGATGTTACACTGAGTAAATAGAAAACAAACACTTTAAAATTCTGCACGCAGATGCAATGGCGACAAACAATGTACATTTTACTGTAAACAGCTGTCATTTTAAAAGCCTTTACAGGCTACCACTTTAAATTTACAGAGGAGGTCTAGTGCTAGAATTACTGCCCATGATCTGACGTTCGCGTTGATACCTCACACATGTCGGATGTTTTTGGGTGCTTGCAGGACCGATGTGTGCGTTCACCTTTGTGTGCAAGCACGGGGGGAACAGAAGCATTTTGATTTTTTTTAATTATTAATTTTTGTTATTTTTTAATTTTTACACTGTTGCTTTAAAAAAAAATGTTTGATCAGTGTTTTTTAACAGCCTCCCACCCACCATATAAGGAAATGACGGGCGCAAGGCAGTTCTCTCGTTCTAGGAGGACATCATATGATGTCCTCCCACTCTTAACGGGGGGCACGCAGCGCAGCGATTGGTGGTGCGCTGTGTCCCTCAGACACAGCGGATCACTGATCAATGGAAAGAGCTGAAGACGTCGGCTCTGTCACGTGATCAGCTGTGTCCAATCACAGCTTATCGCATGTAAATAAGGAAATGCCGGTTATCGGCATTTCTCTCTTCACAAGCTGTCACGCTGACAGCTTAAGAGGAGAGGAGAGCTGGTAATTGGCATTCCTCAGAGGGGACATCTACACTGATCATCAGGGCACTGATGATCAGTGTGTCCTGTTGATCAGTGTAGCCCCAACAGTATTGTCAGTGTCCATGTGCCAGCTGTCAGTGCTCATCAATGCCACCTGCCAGTGTCAGTGCCACACCAATGCCACATATCAGTGCCCATCTGAGCTGCCTTTCTGTGCACCTATCAGTGCCAGTCAGTGCCGCCTATCAGTGCCTGTCAGTGCTGCCTAACAGTGCCAGTCAGTGCCACCTAACAGTGTCAGTCAGTGATGCCACCTATCAATGCCACCTATCAGTGCCATATATGAGTGCCCATCAGTGATGCCTGCCAATGCCCATCAGTGCCACCTACCAGTGCCTCCTCATCAGTGCCCATCAGTGCCACCTATCAGTGCCCATCAGTGTACCCTATCAGTGCCTATCACTGCAGCCTCATTAGCGCACATCAGTGAAGGAGAAAAATCACTTAACTACAACATTTTATAACAAAAACTAAGAAAAAACTTAAATTTTTAATTTTCAGTTGTTTTTGGTTTGGTTAGCAAAAAATAAAAATCCCAGAGATGATTAAATACCACCAAAAGAAAGCTCTATCTGTCTCAAAAAAATGATAAAAATTTCCTATGAGTATAGTGTTGCATGACCGCGCAATTGTCATTCAAAGTGTGACAGCGCTGAAAGCTGAAAATTGGCCTGGGCAGGAAGGGGGTATAAGTACCCGGTAGGCAAATGGTTAATGCTTTCAGTTTTTAAAAATGGCACTGTTTAGTTCAGAGTAAACTGGAAGTGATGCAAGGTCATGGCTTCCCGGTTACTACAACAGAGGGCCGACCAAAGCCAAACCTGGCTTTGTTCGGCTGTCTGGCCAGCTGGCGGATGTGGCGGCTGGTCGCTTGGGTCTCCTAGTGGGACGGGAGAGCTAGAGAGACCAGCGAAAGGTGGCGGGAGGGTTACAATCGCTCCCATTGCCTGTAAAAGCAATTGAACGGCTAGTTAGCCGCTCTGATTACTTTTACGAGAGAGCTGACCTCCGGCAATAAAAAACGTTACTGGGATGTTGCTTGCAGCTGCAGGCTTTATCCCGCTATAACTGCTTGAAGTCCAGCGATGTATTGGTATGTCACCAGTCCATAAGTGGTTAAAATGAATGGCACCTGAACTCCCTGTTATTGCTCAATTTGTTATTTTAGCAAAGCATTTTGAAATCACAGGCAGAATTGCAGCGATTCTGCCCAATATTTAAAATACTGTAGCGTGAATGTGGCCTAAAGCCTACAGCTTCAAAAACAAGTCAGAAATTGCTAATTTTTTTTCCTGATAGATTTCATGGTAGTCACAAAGCATGTGAAGTGTGGTTATAAAGCAAGGTATCACAGTCTTAGAACTCAGAGGTCAGTATGTAAGTCTCTACGTGGAAAACTATGTGGCTCAACCAACAAGTTTTCTTTTTCATGGAGTAAGACACAGGAGCTCATAAAGTGTTGTGCTGTTTTTCAAGAGGACTTGAACCATGGAAGAAAAAAGCAATCAAAGGACTAGTCATCAGTATTGCCTGTAGGCTCTCATGTGGTCTTTTACTACGTATTACTGATTCACCATGCCTTGTTTTGTCTCTTTGTAGAGATGGCTTCCTTGGAAGAGGAGCAGGCCTTAGTTCATCTTGTCAAAGCTGCCCCCATGATGATTGGTGATCTGAGGATTGGGAAGGGAATATTTACTAAGAGCAAAAGAGGTGCATAAAGCACAGATCTACAGAATGTGCAGAAGCCGGTAGATCCTTGCACTGCAGGTCCTCAGATACAATTTCCTCTACAGCAAGCTGATAATAAGAGAATTTGCCTCACTGACAAATTTTTGGTAAGCTTTATTCCGGATACATTTTTTTTGTGGGGATAAGGCAATTCTTCAATAGAAGAGGATGTAAAATCTGGTTATGTGCAAACCATGTTCATGTGAATACAGAGTTGACTTTATCTTTTACAAAATCAAGATGTTCAGTGCAGGTGCTGTACAGCTGGCGGTAAGATAAGCTCATATTCTGTTTCTATATAGTAAAATCCTTTAAACACCAAGGCCTTGGGGCCCAGGTTTTATGTACATGACTATATAATATTACAAGATGGAGGTACCGAGAAAGATCTGTGACTGTTACTTTTATTCACTACTCAGATAATCCACAACCTGTCTACATTTATTAATAATTTAACGCTAGAGATTAAAGATTCAATAGTAGAGTGTTTAAATGGTGTGAATGTCTGGCTTTGTTATGTTTATATCCTTTGTCTAAAAATAAATATGCTATCCCTGTAACTTGTCATGACATGAAAACTGATAATTACGCTGCACATTCAATTGCCAAGAAACAATATAGAATCCCCAAGAAACCCAGTTTGACCTTTGTCATATATTGATTCCTTCAACTTGTTGAGACAGGAGCCAGCACAGTACTACCCATTTATTGCAAGATTGTTCTGAATGAATCTATGCTTTTTTTTATGTGTTGCTGATGAATTCATCGATTGACAGATCATTTTTGCTAACCAGGCCGCTTAAGTTTTAACTATTCATGTATAGCTTTTTGACCATTTTATTTGCCATACTAAAACACCCATCTTTAGCTTTAAATTATTATTTTTTTATTTTTACACCTTTTTGTTTTTTTGTGATGTTATTACCATATAAATGGCACATCTTTCATACTTAGCTTAAAGGACCATTTTCCTCAAAAACACATTTTAGAATTTCATTTATAGGGGCTGTGTAAAAAAGTGATTGATGGGTAATTTCACCTTAATTAGGCTTACATTAACTCCATTTTTGAAATAGCATTTCATCTGCATTATTTAATGGACTAAGCAGACGAAAAGATATATCTTTTTTTAAACAAAAAAGAAAGTTATTGTGCAATGCTTTTCAAACTATGGTTAAATAACTACAGAAGTTAACTTCTAAAGAAACTAAAATGGCATTTTTATTGTCTTTTAAGAACCCTTTTCTTTATTACTGCTGCTCATCCCAGCTTTACTTTTTTGCTTTTTATCTTTAGACTTTTGTTTGGAGGAAAGAATATAAAAGTGATGAGGTTAAAAAAAAACTGTAAGAACTGCTGTATCTAATGGGTCTACAACAGAATTATATCTGCTGAAGATGGGCAAAAAATTAAATTGTGCTTGTTCAGCACAAGCCAATAACCTGCTTTGCTGAATTTTGATCTGCCAGTTCAGTTTCTGCTGGATAAAAAAGTATCCCACTCCAGCCTGGCAAACCAGTCATACTTATTTTCAGTTGTTTTTAGTTCCCCTGCTATGTTAATACCAAGATGCGTGCCCTTGAAGTAAAATTAAAGGCAAAACATTTTTTATTTTGGACATAGCAAGGGAGGGCTATAATTCCTGTAAGGTTTATTTTTGCCATCTGTATCCCATGGGACAAATTTCCCTTCACTCTAAAATGAGGGATTGTTTGGGTGTCACCAGGGTCACTAGAGCTAGTGAAAATATCCCCACTATTCCTCTTCTGGTGACAACCCTAAATTTTGGATTTTCTTCTACTTTCACTTTTAGTGGTGACATTAAACAGGTCTAGTGAACAGGATGAGACAGCAGTAACAACATGACAGATGTTCTAATCTCTCTTCACCCTATCCAAAAAAAAGCCTTTAGTTCTACTTTAAAGTGTATGTAAAATCAAACCATTTTCAGGAACCTCTCTATTTGTCCTGATACTAATGATGAGCTTGGGTTTGGGTCCATGCCAGCACAATCAGCTGCGGCCAGGGCATTCCACATCTCATAGCTGCATGTGGAAAATGGGGTCTGGATGCTCATGACATCATGGACCTAATATGGCCACAAATAATGCTATGAGCATCCCCACCCCCTTGTACATGCAGCTGCTGGACAGGGAATGTCCTGGCTGCAGCTGATTGGTCAGGCATTGACAGCATCCTTCTGGATTTAACTGAATATGAATTTGGACTAAACTCAAGCTCATCCCTAAGTGTGATCTTCTAAAATGCTGAGTTGCCAAAAAACAGGAAGAGAGGGGAAATCTTTTAAATGGGTCTCTTAGTCTGTTGGTAGTTTCCTAATTTTGGAAAGATTATCTCTAACTTCCTGCTGTGTATACAGCACAACTATTGAAATAAATACTTGGTAACCACGCTATAGCCAATGATGGCTACAGCGTGGTTACCCAGTTCTGGAAGGGCACCTGACGATCTCCGTGATCAGCTGTGTCCTAAGGACACAGCTGATCATGTGATGAGGTAAAAGGCCAATCACAGCAGCCTTTTACCACGTGATCAGCTGTGTCCAATGATACAGCAGATCACGGAGTAAATACAGTTGCCGGTTATCAACAGAACTTTCCTCATGCTGTCACAGCATGAGGAAAGTACTGCCGATAACCGGCAGCTATCACAGAGGAGATCGGCATTAATCATCAGTGCCCTGATGATCAGTGCCCTGCAGTGCCACCCAGAAGTGCCACCCACCAGTGCCCAGCAGTGCTTCCCACCACTGCCCAGCAGTGCCACCCATCAGTGCCCCCCAGCAGTGCCACCCATCAGTGCTGCCCAGCAGTTGCGCCCATCAGTGCCACCCATCAGTGCTCATCAGTGCTGCCAGTCAGGGCTGTCAGTCAGTGCCACCTGTCCATGTCGCCCATCAGCGCTGCCTGTCAGTGCCCATCAGTGCCACCAATCAGTGCCCATCAGTGCCACCTATCAGTGACCATCATTGCTGCATGTCAGTGCAGCATCACCAGTGCCTCCCCATCAATGCCCAACAGTGCCGCCTCATCAGTGCTACCTCATAAGTGCGGCCTATCAGTGTCCATCAGTGCTGCCTATCTGTGCCACCTCATCAGTGCCCATCAGTGCTGCCTATCAGTGCCTATTAGTTCTGCCTATCAGTGCAGCCTCATCAATGCACATCAGTGAAGGAGAACAATTACCTGTTTGCTAAATTTTATAATAGAAAAAAAGAAAACCTTTTTTTTTTTTCAAAAATTTTGCTCTTTTTTTATAGTGCAAAAAATAAAATGCCCAGTGGCGATTAAATACCATCAAAAGAAAGCTCTATCTGTGTGAAAAAAAATGCTAAAAATTTCATATGGGTACAGTGTTGCATGATCGCGCAATTGTCATTCAAAGTGTGACAGTGCTGAAAGTTGAAAATTGGCCTGGGCAGGAAGGGGGTATAAGTGTCCGGTAGAAAAATGGTTAATCTTCCCAATGGGACACAGAGCTAGCAAAAATATACTTTTTAATGATTTCTTACCCTATCCAAAAAAATAGGCTTCAAATGT